TAAAATTCGTCAGCGGAAATACTTCCGCTGCACGAATATCCCCTATTCGAGCAATCTAGGCTTGACCGCCGTAAAATTGCGTGCTAGAGTCCGAAAGAGTAGCTATCCTGTAAATAGCATATAAATTTACGGAATTATTACAAATTCGGGTTAGGGAACTCCCTATTCAGCTTACAGCTGTTCTAATCCGTATCGCATACGATGTCTGCACGGCGAAAAGCGGATTAAATAATTCTCAGAAACTTGCAACGAATTCGAAGTATCGACGCTCATCGGTCGACACACCGTTTCGCAATAATTAGCAACCGCGGCACTTGCCGATAAGCGACTCTCTCTCCTTAAACTATACGCTACTCTCTCGTACTCATGCTCCGGGCGTATACACGCCCGTATGAGTCACCGCTCGCAGTACATTAGAAATCGATCACGACTTCTTAATCCGCGAGCGTTAACAATAACAATTAGACCGAACCGTTGTTTCAAAATTGTCGCGAATACGTAATTTTGTACTAATTTTCGAGGAATTAGCTGACCGCTAATTCCTCCGAACTATCATCTCCGCATGCCTTACATGCGGAGGCGCATGTTTCACATGCGAATCCCTCCGACTTACGCGTATTTTTAACGATGTTATTTGCAAGTCTATTTCCTAATTACCCTTAAACTACTGCTTAATTACGTAGACTATTAAAGGAAACTAAATTATTACAATAACTACAAACATTTAATTTATAGACAATAAATACACAATAAATGACTTTTCTAAATTATAGTATGTTAGGAGATAGCCTAACGGGAGTCCGAAGTGCGAGGAGAAGCGGAGTACGCAAAATAAAGACAAGTAATAATTCTATCTAGAATTATAAAAATAAAAATTTATTATCGCGACCGATCACCCGATCGCGTTCTCAAAAAAGAAATACAAAATAAAATAGCCTTTCGCAAAGCGAACGTTTATATGTATTGACTATTTATTATTATTAGCCTCGGGCACGGCCGTGTCGTCTCCGCTTACTGTCCTTAGCGGCGATCTCTATAAAAACAAAAGATGTTTGGAGATTTAGCCTAAACAAAATTTAGCTGGTACCGGAAAAGAGGGAAGCAGGTTCAAATGAAATAAAAGTATTAATCCTTTTATATACAATTGTTTATTCAACCGCCGACACTGCCGGCGATTGCTTCGTGTTGATACACTATGAAATCAGTGCGGGTGCAACGTAATGACGAATCGAAAGGAATATCTTTCGATTCGCTTGCAGAAATTGAAAGGGTTGCGAGGAACTGTATGACAGTCTATGCCTCGTCCTTTCCTGTTAATTGAGAGTATGTAAATTATTTGCGGAATAATGGAATCGGTATCGAAATCGTCCGATGTGTTCCCTATGACGGCTATGTGCTGACAGGCCGCGGAGCTCCGCTTGTCCGTCAAGGAAAACTAATCCTCCGCTATGCGGCGTCCTCGACGACTTAGTCTGTCCTTTCCTATTATATATTCTTCTTAGAACGAGAACACCTGTTCCGAGAATTCGAATGCAAATTCTCGTTACCGGTGATTCC